GTATTCCTATTATGCTGTACTTTTTTTGGTTAATTGCTATGATTAGGAGTATCGGTATTTCTTTGTATTTTGACAGTTGATTCTTAGCTTTGCTAATGCTAGCATTCGGCATTTAACTGTTGACTTTAGTCTGCGAGAAGGTATCGTTTATCTCAACTTTATCTGAAGGTACGATTCCTTCAAAACTTATGACCTGTTTCTATGAAAAACTTACCTCTGGTAAGGGATATTTCAGTGTCATAAGCCCTTAAGGAATCCTGTTCTAAAATACCATCTGTATGTAAATCTATCTGTTTACAGATATGAAACGAGTGTTCAAGCTCTAAAGTTCCTATATTTAACTAAACACTACATGCCTAGTGCTTTAATAATGTTGGAATTTCATTCACCAGCTGTGCACTTAGAAGAAAAGATTGAGCACTTGTGTCAATTAATAACTGACATTTTATACCTACTATCTCTACTACAACTACTGGCGACACTTTGTTAACACTACTAATGCTCAACCTCTTATTCCAGACTTCCTGAACTACTAATTTTGCTCCATAATCCCAGCTAGAATTACGTTTTTTGATTCCTTAGCAACCATTGGGCTTGTGTTATTTCTCAAGAACTTTCCTCTGAATGTTCCAGTCTTTGGGGTTTTCTGCTCTTTGGGGTTTTCTGCTCTTTGGGGTTTTCTGCTCTTTGGGGTTTTCTGCCTTTGGCAGGTGTCTGCAATTTCTAGCCATGTATCCTTTTAGTCCACAATTAAAGCATGCCCTTTGCTCATTCCTTTCCTGAAAGTAGTTTTTGCCATATGCTCAGTTTTACCACAGTTAAAGCATCCGGGGCCTTCAGGCTTATTCAGTTTATTTTGTTCACTGTTCCCACTATTTTTTGTTGCCACTTAGTGTGTTTATAGCTGAAGGGCCTTCAGGCTTATTCAGTTTATTTTGTTCACTGTTCCCACTATTTTTTGTTGCCACTTAGTGTGTTTATAGCAGAATCTATGTATCTATTTCTCACGTAGCTCTTCTCCAGTGGATACTTTGATTAAATCTAGCAGGGTCAATTTTGGGTGTGTTTTCCTCATTTACATTTCTCCTTGTTATGTTACTAGTCAGACCATAATCTGACTTCAACATATTCTGTATTTTCTCAGTTGATTAGGGTGTCTACATGCCCCATGAAGCCTATTACCCAACTCCTTGAACTTGTGTCCAAACACTCTGACTGTCCTCTCTGCTGAATTAAATTGTGTATTTATGTCAATATTTTGTTAGGCATCTTTCATTTTCTATATTCCTGTATTAACCTGTGCATCAGATACCAAAAATCTATGGTTTCTCTCAGTTTGTCAGAAGCCCTACTGCAATGCCTACGTACCTTTCTTAACCTTAGGATATCAGCTTTTTGAGTGTTTGTCCAGCCTGATATTCTTGTGGCTTTGTTTACTGCATCTATAAAACTGTCTGTCCTTATCAGACTGACTCTGAAAAAGTGAAATGGCACTCATTAAGTGCATAGCTATATGTAGTCCTGCTGATGCGGGTTGATCTGCTGCAACCTTGAAATTTGCACCAGCTCTTCTGTCGACTTGTGGTCGGGCACCCTCTTCTGTTGTAATATGTTTTCTGGAAGTATCCATGTCTACTTACTCATTCTACT